GGGCTTGAATTAGTGGACTGGACCCTATAAGGACAACCACAGAGTGTCGTCCTTGGTGACTTTAAGACTTGCAGTGTCCAGGCGTTGATTACTAAAGTAGACAAATCAGACTGGAAAGGTAACATTCCCCACGTAATGCCGACATCTCAGAATCTTCTAGGGTATTGTATGTCTTCCATATTAACATGTAACTATTCAGATCAGGTCTCCAGTCTAGGACAGGCGTTTACAGTCAAGGGATTGACGAATCATCCCTGTAAACGCACGGTATCGTGGAAAATAATAACGTAATTGCTGTCGTTTTCTTGATGTATAGGCAGAAGCGACTGTGGCCAGCTGGGCATGGATTGGCGTCCGTCCAATCAACTGGGCAAGCTCAGTGAGTTGAAACTCATCTCAGCACTCTTGGTCGTATTTTCCGTGACCTCAACCGCGTACTTGGTGGTATATGGGGCTTACGGCCATCGGCAGACGATAGGTATGGATCAAAGTGCCCAGACATTTTCGCTTTGAAGTTCTGACGCACAATTCTCGTTTTCCTTCACGGGGTTCTTTCGGCGCAATCGCCAACGGTGAGAGAGAAATCCAAATCATGACAAAATACTTGCACACTGCTTAAAAGGCCAAAATGCCGCGAAAAGTACAATACTCGTTGAGACGGGGACAGTATAGAAGACTTTCCACGGTAGGCAAAGTGGAAGTGGTATTTGGGACAGGGGAATTTGCAACTTGGTAAAAAAAAATTAGCAATGCCGAAAAGGAAGTTCAAGACTAAAGTGTTAACTTGAGGAACATTCAAAAGATGTCATTATGAATCATTTATTGCTACCTCACTTATTTCTTCCCTAAGTTGCCTTTGTGTCGGTATTTGTGATTGACCGTGGAAAAGGTCGTGTTTTTCTTCATGTTCAACCTAAGGTCAGAAGGATGTCAGGAGGCTGCAAATCGTCCAGGAATTCGTGAGGTCGACTGACAGCACTTTCAGACACAATCTGAAAGACATCGAGAAAGTTGGTATGCCAAATATCTTGACCTCGCCGAATTTGAACAAGGTACTTCGGGAACTAATAAGGCTTTCTTCATGATACCGTTTGAGGGCGACACATGATGTGATTGAGCCAGTACTGTACCACGGACATATAAATGCACAGACCACCAGGTCCTGGTCAAATCTACAGGGACTTTTCGTGATGTGAGCGGCGCCCGACTAAAATCAAAACCATGGGTAAATCCACCCCTCGGTGTAGGGAATTTACGTACAGTTGAAGAATTCCAGCCATAAAATTTTACGAAACCATTTTTTCGATTGTAAACAAATCCTCTATTTACTTAATCTGGCCCATAGGGATTCAAAACAATGCGGTTGCAAAATTTGAAAAAAGAGATAGTACCGAAGAGCAAAAAAGGTGAACGTACTTGGAAGCACATGTAAACAAATACAGGCAATGTGAGTGCGTTGCACGTAATGCGCACTGGACGCGCTGCCATCCACCGTTTCGACCATTGTTTTTCCATACTTTTCAAAATCACAGTCATACGCGCAAGACCAGCGGTCTTTGCGTTTACATGTCTTTGACCTGTACATAGAGTAGCGCCAACTTCAGACTTTGGAACCTAAATGGCTTCTCATTATGCGCACAGTATAGCATGCATCTCGTGTGTGTTAATTATCCATGTGCACTGACGCGGGGTCCACCATTTTGGTTCAAACAGTTGAGACACCCATGTCGCAACTCTCTCCATAAACAGCTCTGGATTGAGGTGTCTAGTTTGCTCCCGAAGGATAATGCATATTATGTACATGTACTGTGTGGGCCAACATGTAATGCACAACCCACGACCGTTCGCAGGACTGTATCCAGCGCGAAAACTGTTGCTATGAAAATATGGAACACTATCAGAATTAATTGGCTGTAAATGACAGACCAGTCTATGATATATGTGTATATGGCTGCAGCCGTTGCCCGTGAGGGTCAAGTGTAACACGAAGCCGCAGCCAAGCGATTCGGACATGGCCTGTTATTTATGTAGTAGCAGTTTTGCACATTCCGGATGCGCTTGGCCTAGCCTCTTGACGTCTTGTTTATTAAAGACAAGGTGCCAGCTTGAAGGCTTGTATTGTATCTTTGGATTAGGTACTTAATTATGCCCCTGAAGGCCGAGAAGTTGTTCAAAAAACTGATAACCTCACTTTAACTTTCAAGACCTAGTTCTGAATACGGGCGATTCACAATAGTGCGCCTCCAAGAGTTTGCAACGCGTTGGTCAATCACAGTGCGTGAAATCTGTCGACCTTTTGCGCGTTTGGAAAGGGTTGACAGATTTCACGCGTCGTGATTGGCCAACATGTTGCAAACTCTTGGAGGTGCACTATTGTGAATTGCCCGTATTTGACACAGTTGACTCCTGATTTTAATTTTGTTAGAGCTACTTTCAGTCACCGATGAGAGCACGGCTCCTTGGAGGGACATTCCCATCTGCACCTCAGACCAGACCGGCTTCCTGCACATCGAAGACTCGCAGTCGGCACGGCGATATCGTTCCCTGGAAATGCCTAGACGCAAATTCCGTCCAGAAACCACGCTTGCTGTCGAGAGAAGAAGCGGAGGCCGTCCAGCGGCGGCGCCGGAACCACCTCCGCAAAGTTTGCAACGAATTCTACCATCTCTCGCCCCTCGACCTCAATTCCTCGTCGCCTCTTGGCCCTGACCTCGTGGCAGCCCTGGGGAGGACGTACGTAAATGACGACTACAATCTGACGGTGACCATCGTTCGTAAGGCCGGCTCGACAAACTGGAAAAAGTTCATGACAGACCTGCACGCGATAAGCAGTAAGTCCACACGGCTGGCGCTCGAACCTCTTCACAAGCGCTCTCAGGAGGATATCAAGCACGCCCTCAAGCACTACACCAAGGTTCTGTTCGTCCGCAACCCACTGGTGCGCCTGCTGTCGGCGTTCCGGGACAAGTTCGTCAAACTGCCCACCCGGGTCTACGTCCGGATGGCCGACCGCATCATCCGGAGGATACGGCGGGAGAGGCCGCCGAATCCGGAGCAGCCGGACCTGACCTTCACCGAGTTTCTTACCTACATCGCCGCTGTGAAAGGCCGGAACGGCGACCCGCACTGGATCCCGGTCTTTCGGGCTTGCAAGCCCTGCCAGGTGCGCCATGACTTCGTCGGTAAACTAGAAACCCTGCAGAGCGACACGGCCTACCTGATCGATAAACTGGGGGTCGGGGGCCGAGTGCAATACGATTATCCCAAGCCGTTCACCGGTAGCTCCAACGTCACGCGGTTGATGGACTACTTCTCAGGAGTTCCGCCTGAAATTATTGAAAAGATTTGTAACCTGTACTGGGATGACTTCGTAGTGTTTGATTACCCAATGCCCGATGATTTCTCGAATTTGAAATCATACATGGAAACAAGTACGTAGGTCACAAATCCCGGGGGGGTTGGCCCTGGATGGAACTTGTTAAATACATTCACACCTCACTTCCTGTGCTTTTAGGGAACTGTCCTACAAACCTTACAAACCAACCATTGGCTGAACTTAGACTTTTATACAATGTACATGTACCTTAAGCTTCCTCAATCCCCATAACACCCTACGGAGTTTTAAACATAATGGCCAGTAGTGTGGTCATCAACCCCGAAGGAGCCCGCCCGGTTATTCTGGATCATCTCACATGTTCATTAACTCCTGTGGGGACATACATTCCACATTTCACCTATTTTCTAGGGACCAGAAACATTTATGGGGACAAAGAAAATGTCCCCACAACTCGGTCCAAATTTGCGTAACAAAAGAAATTGCCCCCTTAACGCGGTGAATGACTACCTGTGGCCAGATGTGGGTTGTTTGCCGCCATGTGTCTTCGGCATCCTGACCACGTTGTAGTTTAATGTCTTCACTGAGCAGCGAATTTTAACATAATTATGGGAAATTTGCGTTTTATAAATAAATTGTTATTGTTGTTATGAAAATGAAATGTTAAAACAGTGTTTGAACAAAATTGATCGTTGTTTTGTGCATGGATTTAAAGTGTAGCTGCAAATGAATTTTTCTTCGACACAATATTTCTGCATCTTTGTTCTTTCCTTCAATGCATTAAAACTCTTACGCACTCCTATTTGGTTAAATTCGTTGAAAGTGCACACTTTTAAACAATCAAAATTATCCATGTTTTGCCGGACAACTGAGGGCGCTGTTGCTGTGAAGTCATCTAAGGAAGACATGGTTCAGTGCCTAACTGAAAACATTTCTAAGAGAAAAAGTGACGGTTTCTTATTCGTATGCACATAAACAACAGTGAATGGGCACAGAAGAGAAAACTTAGCCCAGGAAAATCTACAAAAAAGGAGGACTTTTGTGTACAAACTAAAGTAAGAATGATGCTTCTTCCTGAGATGACATCACAGTGTTGCTCATGAATATGGACATTAACATTACAAAAAGATCCTCTGAAATACTTCTTGAAATAGTGAAACCAAAGTTGAAAATAAGGTTTACTGACCCCAAAAGGTGCATTTTACAAGTTTTTAATGAAAGAAAAACATGATTTTAGCTAACCTTTGAGGGGTTTAATTGAAAAGGCACCACGCGTAATCGGTGAGTTCATTCACCTCACGTGTTGGCTTGAAGAAATCGTCGCACGATTACAAAACGGAAACACATTTTAAATACAACAAAAGCTTTAACTGTCCAAGTACATATGGGAACATGTAAAGATTTTCGTGTATTTCTTGTACTGCTATTTTATACACCCCTCGGTTAAGTGTGGAACAGGCACACGGCCCGTCGCGCGACTTCGTGACGCACCGACCCCCCCCTCCCCCAGTGTTAGTGAAGTCATTTGCTGGACGCATGATGTAAACCCAGGACACCCTTACCCTTCCAACACATGATCGATTAATGCAAACCTGTCTTACCCGGTTTGTATACCCTGCAAGAAATGAGACCGAGGGGTACCCCTCCCCAACATGTCCAA